GTGTGTGAGAGAGAGAGAGAGAGAGAGAGAGAGAGAGAGAGAGAGAGAGAGAGAGAGAGAGAGGTATGGGAGGGGTGAGCCCGGGTGACGAACCAAGTTTGTAGGGGGCGTTGATGTAAAATCATGCCAGTGTAAGTTCATCCTCCTGTAACCTGTTCTCCTTTGCGTAATTGTGGTGCGTCCCTGGCGTTCCTCTTCTGCTTCTAGGCAATGACGGGCCTGCCAAATGTTTGTTTTTTGTTTCTTGGTTTAGGGGGTAGGCACTTAGCTTATTGTATCCCTCTGATGTATGACCAGAATTCGAACTCATCAAACACTCCGGAAGGGCTTCCAACCAGTCAGAGAAAAACGTTGATAACAGCCAGAATCTGTAGGAATGAAGAAGCAAAAGGAGAAGGTGTAAACCCCTCATCGCGTATCTTCTTTGCCAGGGGCAAGTATGTTAATGTCACTTTTGAGTATTGATCTAATAAGTGAAAAAAAGTTAAAAACACATGCCGCCAAAGTTAACAGGCACCAAGTTTGAAAAAGCAAAGAATTTGATGAAAGTACCAATGGCAGTGGTGGCATGTGACAACATGTTATTTGTTAAAACAGTACATTATTGTGTGTACTATGTTGAAACGAATTTATGACACAGTGTATAGTCTGGTGTAGTATTCCAGATCCGGATACATCCGAACAAGGAGTAAAATCAGCTTTGAGGTGAGGAGCACAGTCAGTACATATATCTGCTGCGCTCCTCTCGTGGTTTGGATGTGACCAGATGTGGAACACCACAACATAATATACATTGTGTTATACGCCTAAGAGTCAGTACATATATCTGCTACCACTGTGTTATATGTACTGCTGCCTCAGTACATATATCTCCTGTGTCCAGATGTGGAACACCAGAACAGAGTAATATATACCACTGTGTCATAGTTTCACTTGGAGTTGAGCATCCCACTCATCCGAATCAGAACAGTAGAATGACACAAACTTGAGTTTGTGAGTAAAACGAGTTGTGACTCTTCACAAACTTAGAGGAGTAGGATGACCTGTATTTAGAAGTGTGAGGACCAGAATGAATTGGAGCTCTGCACCGATGATCGTGTACATGTGTAGAGCGAGAGAGATAGAAAGAGAGAGAGAGATAGAAAGAGCGAGCGAGAGAGAGACAGAAAGGGCGAGAGACAGAGGGTCTTAGAGAGACTGTACTTAATTTTCCGGAGACGCAGGGTCGAGTACACGCGTAGACCATTAGCCTCGTTTTTTAAAGCATTTCAGACGATCGTTGTAGGAGAGCAGCAAGGTAATGTGAATTTCCAAGATAAGCGAAGTTTGGATGTATCCGAGATCACAGGAGATAGACAGACAGAGGAAGTCCGCAAAAAATTGTCGTGTACATTTGAAGAGCGAGAGATATAGAAAGAGAGAGAGAGACAGAAAGAGCGAGAGACAGAAAAAGCGAGAGACAGAAAAAGCGAGAGACTGTACTTAATTTTCTCGAGACGCCGCACGGACGGCGCAGGGTCGAGCACACGCGAAGATCATTAGCCTCGCTTTTAAAAGCATTTCAGACGATCGCTGCAGAAGAGCAGCAAGGCAATGTGATTTTCCCAGATAAGCGAAGTTCGGATAGATCCAAGATCATAAGAGAATGACAGAGAGGAAGCCCGCAAGAAATGACATATTAGCACGCCAGAGGGCTGAGAGATGGAAAAGACAAGCACCGTATAGTCACCCACAGCATTTCGTGTTACAGACGTATCCGAAGTGTCGAACTAGTATAGACCCTTCAGTTTGAAGCTTCCCCTATGTTTTTTGGTACACAGTTCAAAAAGTATTTTTTGCGAAACTGAGAGAGAGAGAGAGAGAGAGAGAGAGAGAGAGAGAGAGAGAGAGAGAGAGAGAGAGAGAGAGAGACAAACATTGTTCCATCATCCACCACATTTCTGATCCATCCGGAGTGTCTCGGTTGTGAGTCGCTTCGCTACGATCTAGACAGAGATGACAGAGATAGAAAGAGCGCATCAGAGAGATGGAGAGGGAGACAGAGACAGAGACAGGGACAGAGACAGAGACACAGAGATAGACAGAGAGAGTGTGGATGATCACACTGAATTTTCTTTTCATGCCGACGTGGCACAGGAGACGCATGTTCGAGGAACACGCGAAAACCACAAGTGTAGCTGTACAAGAGTTGCAAGGTTTTCGTTAGACGAGAGTAAGCCAAGTTCGGATGCATCCGAGATGACAGGGGAGAGGGAGTACGAAGCAAACAGCAAATGAGCGCACTAGACACAGCTGTGGGTGTGTGTGTGCGAGAGAGAGAGAGAGAGAGAGAGAGAGAGAGAGAGAGAGAGAGAGAGAGAGAGAGAGAGAGAGAGAGAGAGCTGATTCTTGAATTCGTTTTTCGGAAATTGAGGCGTTCACCAATCATACAATGGTCATTTGTTCATGTGTGCCAGCTCAATTCAGTTTGTGTCACTTTGTAGTATCAATCGGCTTCGCCTTGTGATTTATCCTTCCGTCACCACATCCAAGTTTGTCCAATCATGCAATTGTATTTTCAGTCGCGCCACCTTTATTTAAATCTCGTCACATTCGAGCAGCCATTGGCGTGGCCTTTTGGGTTTTCCCTCTCGGCACATTCAAATTTTTCATTGTATTGGGTAATGCATAGGAACCGAATGTATGAATGCTCGTGCAGAAGGGGAGCTTTGTCGGGCCAAAGAATTGACAACATTCAATGTCGGAATCACAAAGCACATAGTGCGGAATGCCAGACGGGCCATCAAATGTATAAAGAGGCCCGTGTGTTGTATTTTTTTCTCTGTGACGCCTCACAACATTTAAAGTGAAAATGCATCGATGAGTGTAGACGATAGGGGAGGTTCGAGAGAGAGGCAGAAAAACATAGAGTTAGTTCGAGTTCGGATGCATCAGAGTATGCGGGCAGAACATCACACCACACAAGGCACAAAATGACGAAAGCGAGATATTCAATCACGAAACAGGCGCCCCAACAACGGGGACGTTCGTGATAATTGAAATCCAATGAGAAAGAACAATATTGTCGACGACAAACACGCCGGAGACATGACAAGCTCACCCGGAGATATCCTGGCAGTGACAGTCAGTTCTGCTCTGAACCAAACTGAGAACACCCACCAGTCCCTCAGGGAAAAAATGAAAAGGAACAAATTTTATCCGGAGAAGAACGAAATGTTCTTCTACGTCAACCCTTCTACACTACATGACCAACAAAGAGATAGATGCTTACCTACCAACATCGCAAATCGCCAAAGCTAGTCTAGCTCTGATAGAGGAGATGTGTCTGTGGGAGAAACCAAAAGGTGGACGTAAACCTCTCGCCAAACAGGAAGCGAACATCAACATGAACACCCCACAACTAGCCCCACCGTGCTGCCGAAGGACACCTTTCACGCTGACCTCGCGAGCGAAGCGGTCGAAAGTGCGACCATCACCAGCGGCACCTGCCACCGTGTTCAAAAATTTAACAGTTTTATCCAGAAGTGCGGAGTAGAAGGAATCTTTGGATGACGAACACGAGAAAGAATCATAGATTTCCAAAACACGTCTCGAGAAGTCAATGGCCAAAAGGCCTTAGTGTTCGTCGTCCTTGTGCACTGGTGCCAAGACGAGGTCATGAGACAGGAGGTTGACATCTTTTGCCCATCTGAGAACAACTGTCGGGACTCGCAGAAGTAGTGAAGAGGCGAAGAAGGAGTTAAAGGTGTATGTCTTCGTGGTAGCGGCAGTCCGGCCGCAGTCGTCCAGTAGCATCGCCATGTAGAAATTGACAACCTCATCGTTGAGCTCCCCGGATCTATCCACGAGTGCGACGATGTCCTTGACGGATACCTGTAAACTGTGCGACGACAAACGCTCGACGATGATAGTGAGCGGCAACCGGGAGCAGATAACGTCTTCAAGGACCGCTCTTCCATCTCGAGGAAACCCTGTTCAACAAACACCCGCAGCACACAGCAAGCACAAAGGACGGGGCACTATGAGAAAATGTCGTCCTAGCGGCCATGGTCGGAGGAACCACTACTCTGTGGTCCGAAAAGTTCACGCATAATGTCACCCTTACTTCTGGACCTTCTACACACAGTTGATTCTAAACTAGCACTGTCCTTTATATCCCTGCAAACCTCGAGAATGAATTCCTTGCAGTCTTTTTCGGCAACACCCGCTGCCTCTGCAACGAGTCTTGCCCGGGAGCCCAATACGGGCACGACTACCCTTCAAGGAGCGCCTCGAGGCTTAGTGTCCCCAGGAAACGCATCAGTGACATTGCGACGACCAGTGCCTCCCGCAACTAGGACTGACAACCTGTCGAAGGCAGGCGGCTCCTGCGACATGGGTGTTTGTCCACGAGTTCGTCGACCTGTACAAGAAATAGCCACCCAGAGAGTTCAGCAGGAGATCAACAACACAAGTTCGCAAGAGCAACCAAGCAAACAGTACCTCACGAAGCACATCGTCACAATCCAGTTGGCGGCCGCCTATACACCTCCCCGAAATCGATGAGGCAAACAACACTTCACGAACGGGCTGACGAGCGGGAAGAAAGCAGAGAAAGTCAGTGCTTACCAGGCCTAGCCACCACTTCACCAGAGCCGACCGACGGCAGTCCCAGCACGATTGGCACCCCTGCGCGCGTCGACGCGGCGACGACGTGCTCCAAACCCACAGGGAAACTTGACAGGCTCGAGATGTCGGCGTTGATGACCGTAGACGGTATATTCGTCTCCGGACAAAGAGCGTCGACGTCCACAACATCGACAGGTTGTGTTTTCTACGTTGCCACTGTGCCGTATTGTGTTGGGCTCAATGTGCCATGGATGTCCAACAACACCTCTCCCCCCCTTAACTTCTTGTCCCCGTACGCCGTGTCTTTGTCGTCGTCACTTAAATAGAGAAATCTATCTCCAACAGCGTCAGAGGCCTTCTTCATAACGTCCTCCCCCACCGCCTCGTTGTGAAGGGCGGAGTACAAGGGATCGTCGTATCCCGGCTGAACTGGTAGCTCCATCCCGACGTCGCTGAGTGTCGGATCAATCCGGTCGTCGGCGGAATTGTCCTTGTCCAAAGTCGTCAGTAGTCGACAACCCTCAACGCCTGCCAGTTGAAGTCCTTTGTCCGTGTGCCTCGGATGAATCCGAATCACGGTCGTCTCCAAAGATGCATCAGGGAGGGACATGTTCACAGGGTCCTGGTTCGGATTCATCCGAGCCCCCGCAGTTCCCAATAACGTCGACGTGACCAATTTCACCAGGGAGTCGCTTACGACTGCTAACTCGGCTCCGAGTGTGTTGGGCTCGACATTGGAACTGGTCGCCAACTCACCCTCAGTCGGGCAGTCCGCCTGCAGCTCCTTGTGGGCTTCCACGCACAGCATTACAGCATCCTAACACCGATCGTCTATCATGGCAGACACAGCTTCCTGGTTCGGATGAATCCGAATTTCATCGCCGACCACCCATTCGAGTTCTGTAGACAGTTGTGCTCCCTCGATGGCACGGCCTTCGCGGTTCGGATTAATCCGAACTTCCTTTTGAGGCGAAACGGAACACGGTTCCAGCTTGTCGTTGCCGGACCCGTGGTATGTTGTCGTCTCGCTTCCCGGAAGGCACTGAGTTCCGGACAACGACGTCGTCTCCGAGGTTCGGATTGATTCGAGACAATCCGCCTACCGTTTTTGGAGCTGAGCGAAGCATGTTCCATGCTTTGCAACACCCGTCCCGCCAACAGCATCGACAAACTGTGTTTCGCTGGTGGAGCTTATCACAGGGTCCTGCTCGCCAGGCCGCGTAATACACCCAGGCCTTAAGTCGTTCCCCGTCTCCATTGAGGTGCTGCCTGTTACCGCCAGAACCCCACCGTCCTCGTCGCGGTCGACATTGGACCCCTGCCCGTCTCCACTGTGATGCTTCGTCTTCTCTCCGCTGCGAAGCTTTTTCTTCTCGCAACTGCCCTTCTTCCCCTCTCCGCCGCCTGCGTGCCCCGGAGACCGCTGTTTCGTCGAACGTTGTTCACTTCCACCTCCGGTACCTCGTTGCCCGCCGCCTTCACCATCCCCGTCGCCGTCCTTTCTGCGAGACTAGCGCTTCACAACTCCTGCCGGCGGGGTGACCTCAGGCAACTCCCAACTCACTTGCTTAATTGACGGGCTTGACGGAAGGGCGTAGAACGCGGAGGACACTTCCAGCCATTTATTTGACTGCAATAACTCGAACAGTGTGTCCCCATATTCGCGAAGAGCAGGGTCGTCCTTACTTCGTCGATTGACCTCACTTAATCTCTCCAATACCGCAACGTAGGCGCGAGATTCGAATGTCTCGAGGTCCCAACGATCGTCATATATCCACCCTCCACTTACGTCCCTCACAACCACTGCCCATTCGCCGTCGAGAAGGACTGGTTGGAAATGGTCTGGGTGCCACACGATATCATGGCCCCAATCTTCGGCTGTGGAGAAGGTGTGTTTGTCGCCCATGTGGAAGGGAGTCGCAGGAGCCTTGAGATGCGGAGGAACTAGATGGCTGGGTCGAAGACGTTCGGGCTGCGGCGTGAGACGAATAGGCTCCCCCGACAAACTTCTCAGACGGGACAACCCACCCCTCTTGACAGGCGCTGAGGAGGACATGGGCGTGGGACCGCCTGAGGTAGGTGTAGCGAGAGGTGTCCCCGGTTTGCATACTAATGGCGACTCAGAAACTTGGGCGTTGAAGATGGTCAATTGCCCGTCCGAATCGAAGAGGTCGTCCTCAACGCTTTCCTCTTGCTCAATCTCGATATTGAAGTCGTCCTCCTCACCGAATGCCAACTTGTTCTTATCCAAAGTGAAGTCGGCCGGATCGACAACATCCTCGTTAAAAAAGACATATTCCAGCCTCTTAATGAAGCTCACAGCGCCGGCCTGACTCGCTCCGTGGTAGCCCTGGAGGACCACAATGGCRACTTCCTTCCGCACMACGTACTGCGRGTCAAATCTCAACCTTGGTTGTTCGCCGTAAAGGAAGGAGTAGACCTGGCGCCTTTTCTTCGGAGTCAACTTGAAGAACATGTCCTTGTTCGGGTCATAAACGGGCTCGACCACGACATGGTGGAAATCGCATGGGTAAGCCTTGGACGACACTTCATGAGTGACATACTGCACGGTGTATTCGGGCTGCGTTGTGTCCCCATCCACGACCAAGACATGCCTTCCTTGCTGAAGCAGACTCCACACCACCTGCGCGTGCGGCCTGCCCAAGAACAGCACGGCATCTGCCACACCACAGAAGAAAAGAAGCAGATTGCACAACTGATTCGGATTTCGCTCGCCGTCCTTGTACAGAGCCCCACTCTGGGTGAGGTTTTCGATGTCCGCGAAAGTCAAGGACTTGAAAGACTTCTCCTCTACATCCGTGGGTGTCACTTTTTGTTTCCTCCAGAGAGCGGCGTCGTCGTCTTCAGCAACAGCTCCCTTGTACACCGGGTGAGTCAGTAGTCGAGGATCCTCGCCTTTGAAAAGGATGTGCATCACATCCGGCTCCTCCCAGACGGTGTTTCCGAACTGATGCGTCTTCTTCGATTCCGTCTTCCGAACCCACTTCCCCGTGTAGCATCGGGTAGCCCCAAGCACAGACAAACATGTCATGAAGGAGAGGTTCCACAGGCAGGGGACGAATACCACCAATGTCCAGTAGTCCTGACCAACGAAGCCCAGCAACTCACTCAGAGACGCGAATGCCCCAGAGTCCCATTGCGCACGGTCCATAGCACCGCATAAGTCGAGCACGCGAGTGTGGGAGCGTAGCTGATGCCCTAGTTTTCCCAGCGCCTCCTTATGATCTATGACACTCAATGGGTCGACGTTAAACTGGACCAGCATCGTCAAGGCGCTTGTCCTTGTCCACATAATGTTGATGCATTCATCAACGCCCCGAGGGCTTTTTTTGCCTTTGGCGCAATCTCCAGTGATCACCGAAAGGACGACACACTTCCGCTCCGCTGGGAAATGCTGGTCGTTGACGAGGGCCGCCGTTCTCTTGATGTTGTTGTCGTGTTGACACCCGAGAAACTGAGGGCACTTGTTGACGTATGTGATGTCCGTGAAAAATTTCCTGCTCTCGTTCCAAAGCTTGTCGTCGAGACCTCTGTCCTTGAACTCTTCGAACAGTTGCTTCTTGGACCTGAAGAACGTGGAGTTGGCATTCCACTCCCGCTTATCCATTTCCTCGTACTCGAACTCCACGTAGTGCCACAGCCTCAGCATAATCTGGTCCATTATTATTATGTCGACCATCTCCTTGACACTGAACTTCCCCTGCTCGGCTAACTTCTTGCTACTCGTTTGAACCCACACGACGTTAAGGTTCAAGACGCCGTTCAACAGCCTTTTCTTCTCGCGGTCCGTCAAGTCTTCCAATTTCTTCCAGCAGTGGACATCCGACTCCGAAACTTGGACGTAGAAAGTTTTCTCCTTCGCGCCTTTCTTTGGCTTCCCCCTGCCCTTTTTCAACGACGGGTCGTCCACCTTCACGTACCAGACGTGTTTCTTCAGCCCCTGGCTGTCAGTCACAGTAGAGAGTCCTGGCTTGGACACCTCCTCATGGGTGGGCGGCTTTTCAGTCCAACGCCGGCCGTAGGAAGCAAGGAGTTTCCCTTTCGACCACTCCTCATAGAACTTCAACCCCAAAGCGAAGACAGAGTCATCTGCCATGGCCAGCGGGAGGTAGTATCGAAGTTTCTCAGCCCATTCTTTTCTTTTCTTTGCTTCCGTTGACAGGTTCTAGATAGGCGTGTACGGCGTCTTCTTCATTGCCAACGCCATGAACCGCACCCACTTTTGCACCTCGTCCTGTTTCTTCGAAACATTGTCGAGCACCACATGCGGTTTGCCCTTAATTTTCCAGATATTGCGAATGTCCCGCAAAGACAAAACCTGCAAGCGCGGTGCATTCTTCTTGTCTTTCATGCTGTCTTCATAGCTGACATGGGCGTAGCCGTCGAACTCGTCATCAGGGAAGTAGATCGGTCTGAACGGCCATTTACAGAAGTTGTAGTAATCAAACACGGGATGGTCTTTCACCATCATCGCCGCCCTCGCGTTATGCTGTCCACACACAGGATAATACCAGTATTTCTCCGGGTGTGAGTTGTCCAAGTCAGCAGGCAGCACGCGCACAGCAGGCTCGCCGTTCTCTGGAGGCGCGACGATCGGAGCGAGAATGAAAATGGGCTTCGTGTATCTCATGTCTTTGCGTTCGTAGCAGTCGATCATAGCCGACGCGATGGTATCAACGAGGAACTCATCCAAGGATCGGTGGTTGTACGTGTCTTCCCAGTCTTGAATAGCTAATATTCTTTCGGGATGGATGTGCAACACGACGTCCTTCTGCACCCCTCTCTGCATCTCGAGGAAGAACGCATTGTCGAGGTTAAAGGCGTTGAGGTTAATCTCCACGTCATCAACCCCCCCCCCCGCTGTCGCCCTCGTCTGCTTTCTTCCCCCTCGATGATTTCGACCATTTCCTGGAAGACTCACCGGTTCTTCGCTGTGTCGACGAGTCTTTTGGCGTTTCATCCCCACCTTCAAACCTTTTCCTCTTCTCAACGGAACCGCCCTCTTGTGTTGTTGGCGTCCGAGCACTCCCTCCTACCTTTCTCTGCCTTTTCAGAGCACCTAGTCCCTCTCGCTCTTCCTCATCCGGCAAGTTGTGCTTGCCTCCCGACTGAGTCTTTTCAGCCGATCTCTCACAGAACAGCCCCTGCTCGGACACCTCCTCCTCACCGGCGACGTTCCCACTTGCTTCTCGTTCCTGGCTCAACTCCGTCTGCAGTTGCGCCGGCGCTGGTCGGGCCCGGCGAGTCGTCTCATCTGACCCACGCACCTCTCGAACCTGCGGACCACCCGCTCAATCTCCAGGCAAAACCTCGGCCACCTGCATGCCACGAACGAACGAACCGATCCTTTCGACCAGACCACGAGGAGTCGTCGTTTCTGATCCCTGTCGCAACCGTTCGCCATCGCCGCCTCCATGTGGCGTCGACTCCCCAAGCAAACCGTGGCGGCGAGATACATGCAAGCCCGGTTTCAAAGGAGCACACGGACGGTCTCCGAGTCGTCTGACATGCCCACCTCTTGATCAGGAGGCGTAGTTGGCAGACCACCCTGACCTCCCATCCCCCCTTCAGAGCACTCTCCTCCCGCGAACCCAACAGAACCACTGATCTATGTTCCAGGTCCGACGTCCATGGCACTGACAGAGGTACCAGATTTCGCCCAGACCTCGAGGAAGTCTGAGACATGAACGGCCTCGTCGTGCCCCGGCGCTAGCAGGACAAAGTGAGGCAAAGACATCGCATGACGGCCGTACCCGCTGAACATCCTCCCGACAACCTTGCATCCCTTTGCGATGCCGTCGACAGAACCATCACTTCTGTAATGCTTCCTCAACGTAAACTTGAAATTGTATTCGCCATCGTCGACCCACTGGACGATGGACCCAGCGAGACGTGTTCAATCGGCGCGAACGACGATGAACAAGAGCGGCCCGCACGGTGGTTGCAAAGGGTCGGAGCCGTTATAGCTCGCCCAATCCAAATACCAGACACGTTTGCTGTAGTCGCACCACAAGTTTTGAGCACGTCGTTTTTCCTCCCCACCTCCAACTCCCCGACTCGTTTCCCTTGCCGGCGACGACGTCGTCCCTCGATGCTCCTCTCCATGCGGGGCGGAACCACCAGCGGAGCGGCCTCGTCCGTGTGAAGCCATTCCCTGAAACACACGGAGGAAATGAACCCACATTCACTCAGAATAGTCAGCACGTCCCAACATCAACCACGACCCACAACACGTATTCTGTTATCGGTCACCCGGACTCCAAAAGAACGAAGTTCAGTCATAGTTAGACGACAGTGGTCCACAAGCCTGCACGTTTCGGATGAATCCGAGGCATCGTGAGGCATCCTCGTCACACTGCCCTTAAGAGAATGAATGGTCGAAAACGAAGACCGCGGGATAGATCGGATACATCCAAAGCAGGCGCAGTCGAAAAACCGATGTCGCATAGGCACCTGCACCGGGAAAAGCAACACCTCGCAAGAAGGCCCTAGAACGCTGATACGGCAGACGAAGACGAATACGTTTTCATCCGAAGTCAACAAGTGGATTGTAAAGTCCGCCGTTGTAGTTCGGATGAATCCGAGCTCCAAAGCGGTGTGGACCACTCCCTTTCGGCCCGTACGAAACCGAACTCGAGTTTTCTTGTCCTTCTGAGTCGGTAACGGTTGTGACTCGGATGCATCCGAATTCGAACAGCGCGGTCCAGAGACGGTCGTCCACAAGAGGTCATCTACAACACGTGTTTTCGTCACCGACCTGTGAGCACTGGGTTAAACCTATCCTGCCGGAGGTTCGGTTCGGTTGAACCTGAACTTCGCAAATGTGGCTCGGATTAATCCGAGACGGGGACCGGCGGATGGACCCCACGGKCTGTTGACGCCCATCCAGCCATCCAAGCTTCCGTTATTCCCCAGCTGTCGTCGGGTCCAACCGAATTTCGCACGGTGTGTCTTCGTCCTTGAGTGTTTAAGACGTCTGTGGCTCGGATTTATCCAATTTCGACAGTGGCTGTCCCGATACGTGCGACCACGATAGGCTGCATCGACACCGTGTGCTTTCGACGTACAAGTTTATCAGATAGTGAGACGTCGTCAATACCCTCTGCGCATGTGGTAAATCCGAAAATGCCACCGGTGTGGTTCGGATTAATCTAACTTTGTCGAGGCGCTTCGCTTTGTTGTCGCCCCACCACACACCGGACCTCCCCGCGATAACCGTAGTGTGTCATTATAATCTGTGCGTCATCACGGGGGATATCGTCGTCGTTGTGAGTTTTAGTTGGTTGTTGCTCGCCCAATCCAAACAACAGACACGTTTGCTGTAGTTGCAGCACAAGTTTCGAGCTCGTCTTTCTTCCACCGAGCGTAACCATCTCGACTCGTTTTAGTTGCGTGAATCCGAGGCATCGTTGACCCTTGTCATCAGACTGCCCTTCGTAGAGCAAATGGTCGAAGACGAAGACAGCGTGGTAGTTCGGACACATCCGAACTGGGCAGAGTCGAAAGACCGACGTTGTGACTCGGATGCATCCGAATTAGGCCAACCACAAGAGGAGGACATCGGCACGGCGTGTTTTCCTCAATGACCTGTGAGCAGAGGGTGGACCCTATCCTGTCGGAGGTATGGTTCGGATTAATCCGAGACGGAACGGTCTTTTGACAGCGTGTGATTTCATCGTTCACGTTTATCGGAACGTGTGGCGTCGTAAATACCATATGAGCATGTGACAAATCCAAATTTGCCGTCAGTAAGGTTCGGATTAATCTGAATTTCACCGAGGTGCCTCGGTTAGTGGTCGCCCCATGAGTTTTAGCGGGTTGTGGCTCGGATGCAACCGAAATTAACAAGGGTGGCTCTGATACGTCAGTTGTTGCGCCACCACAAGATGGTATGGACAGGGTGGGCTGTTGTCCTCCTGGTTGGTCACCATCGACAATACCCTATGAGCATCTGATCGCTCCGTGTCCTGTCCTGTGTCCAAGTCAGCGGAAGGGTTCCTCGCGACGTTCGGCTGACGCGAGGTTTGATAGGGTTTAAAGATTTGAATTCACGTTCGCCTCCTGTATCTTCGAATCTGTTGTAGCAGTCTTCGGATTACTGATCTGTGATTGCACTCAGGGGGGGACAAACCTGAGATCGGTTGAGCGACTGTTTGCGATACACAAACATTGGAGAAAGGTAGAAAACCCGCATAGACACGAAAGGGAGACTAAGATCGATAGAGACGTCGACAAGTAGAGGATGCGCAGCGAGAGAGCCTGTCTTTAGCTCTCTGTCTCTCCATGTGCAGATCCTGCGGATGGTGTTGTCCATTTCGAAATTCGTAATGTGACCCGTTAATAAAACGGCACAAAAGAAATATAAGAAAAAATTGTTCGTGTCGGCGAGAGGAAGATTGGCGAAAAATGTGAAAAATTTGACAAATGTGGAGGACATTTTACGGATACAGAACCGAACGCCGAGCGAACTGCACGACGCGACTTACGTGGAAAACAAATAAACAAACCGAGCGCAATAAAAATTAATTCGGCGTGAAGAAAGTCCATGTGCAATCCAGAAGAGACACGATTCGTGAGAAACCATGTTTTCGTGTTCGACAACATACGACTGAAATCCTTATATCGCAGTTCGTGAGAGAGACATCATATTGACGACAAGCGAGTAAGACTTCGAGAAAACATCTGAAGTGACGACACAATCTCGAAGGGCGTGTCGCAACATTCTCGGGCTGCATTCGCGAGTCCCGTTTCGTTGGTGACCACTCGCCCCGATCAGATGGCACACTCACATGTCCACGTGACAGCTCCTGAACATGCGTGGCGACGATCAGATAGAGCCCCGCATCCATCAACGTGGCCACGCTTGTTCATAACGTGACACGTGGATGTATGAGTTTGCCATCTAATCGGTGCGAGTGATCGCCAATGAAACGCATGCATTCTTGCTCCCGAAACTCCTTCATCTCGCCCCGATCAGATGGCACACTCACACGTCCGCATGTCATGTCCTGAAC